GGGGCTGGGTATACGGGGACCCCTCGCCCAATGCTGGGATGCGGCTGACTCGGGTGGGGCATGGGTCCATGTTTATATGGGGATTCCTCACCCAGTGCTGGGACGTGGCCCCGCTGGGGTGGGGTGCAGGGGCTGGGTATACGGGGACCCCTTGCCCGGCACTGGGAGGTGGCCCCCGCGGGGGTGGGGTGTTGGGTGGGATTCCAGCCTTTTGCGACATCCCCCCACCTGTGGGATTCAGGCTGGGGGTCAGACCGTGGGGGGCGCCCCTGGTGCAATGGGGCACTTGGTCCCTCCTAGCCAAGCACCCCGGTGCCCCCCTCCCAGTGCTGAGTTTGGGGTGCTGCCGGGATGCTGCTCGTAGGGTGGGGGGAGCAGGAACAGGGACCCCCAGGTCTCCGCCCCAGTACAAGGGGGCAGGGACAGCAGCTGCCCCCCCCGGGAGTTAATGCCATCGGACACCCCATTAACCAGCTGGGGGGGGGGGACTGGTGATGGGAGGGGATGTACCCCCCTTGGCAGGGGTTAGAGTGATGGTGGTGGGGGGATGGGGAGCCAGGACACCTGGGTTCTGTCATGGGCATTGCGAGGGGAGGGGGTTGGAGCGGGGTCCCCGGAAGCCAGGACGCCTGGGTCCCCGTCAGACATCTCACACAGCCGAGTGCTAATACCAAGCCTTTATTCAATGCCAGTTACAGACTTTGGAGGGGGCAGGTCACCCCGTGATCGGGGGGGGGGGGCTCCGGCCCGGCGGGGCAGCAGGATTTAAAGGGCCGGCGCCGCGGGCAGCTCGGGGCTCAGCTGCTGTCGCCCAGGGTGAGCCGGTCGAAGAGATACTCGCCCAGCCCCGCCTCGGGGGCCCCCACGCGCCGCAGGTTGGTCACGTGGTCACCCAGCTTCTTCAGGAGCTTCACCTCCTCGTCCAGGTAATGGGTCTCCAGGAAATCGCACATCTGGGGGGGGGGGGCAGAGGAGAGTTAGAGATGGGGGTCCCCTTGGGCCTTCCCCCCACAGGACTCCTGGGTTCTCTTCCCGGCTCTGGGAGGGGAATGGGGTCTAGTGGTTAGAGCAGGGGGGGTTGGGAGCCAGGACTCCTGGGTTCTCTCCCAGCTCTGGAAGGGGAGTGGGTGGTCTAGTGGTGAGAGTGGGGGGGGGGGTGCTGGGAGCCAGGTCTCCTGGGTTCTCTCCCCAGGTTTGGGAAGGGAGTGGGGTCTAGTGGTTAGAGCCGGAGGGGCCCAGACTCCTGGGTTCTCTCGGGGTGGGTCACTCACGTGGGGGTCCGCGTGGCTCATGGCCACCTTGTGCAGGTCCAGCAGCGCCTGGTTGACGGTTTTCTCCAGCTTCAGGGCAAAGTCCATGGCGGCCGCCCCATTCCCCCACTCGTCCTGCTCCGGTTTCTGGGGGTGGGGCGGAGGGAGGTTAGGGCTGTGCCTGGGGGGAGCAGATGGGGTCCCCCTCAACCCTTCCCATAGACCCCAGCACCCCCCACCTGCATCCCTCCCTCCTGCCCCCAGACCCGCCCCACCTGTGCCCCCCGCCCCCGGCTCACCTGGATGGGCTGCAGGAGGATGCGGCCCCCCCCGGCGGTTCTGGAAGCCCAGCAGCCGCTCGGCCTGTTCCCGCTTCTCGCCCGACAGGTGCCGGAAGAACTCGAAGAAATGGGCCAGCGCCACATCGTCCCGGTTGAAGAAATAGCCCTGGGGGGGGGAGGGGGGAGACATCAGTGAACCCTGAGCGTGGGGCTGCCCCCAGGCCCAGGGAGTGGGGAGACACCCCCCTAGAGAGCCCCCACCTAGCCCCTAAGGCTAGAGAGTGGGGGGAGGCCAGGGACTGCCCCAGAGACCCCCCCTGAGATCCCCCCAATCCAGGGACACCCCCCCACAGCCAGGGGACAGCCCCACCCCTCCCCACGTCAGGAGTGGTTAATGGTTAACATCGCTGGGGACCGGCCGGGTCCTTGGAGGCTGGACTCTGCCCGAGGAGCGGCTGGTAAACAACAGAGGGTGGGGCTGGCGGGCCCGGGGGCTGGGGCTCAATGATATTGGGGGGAAGTCCCCGTGCTGGGGACATGCAGATTGGAAAAGCGGGGGGGGGGGCTGGGAGCCAGGACTCCTGGGTTCTCTCCCTGGTGCTGGGAGGGGAGCGGGGAGCAGTGGTCGGAGCGGGGGGGCTGGGAGCCAGGACTCCTGGGTTCTCTCCCCGGCTCTGGGAGGGGAGCGGGGAGCAGTGGGCAGAGCAGGGGGGTCTGGGAGCCAGGACTCCTGGGTTCTCTCCCCGGCGCTGGGAGGGGAGCGGGGTGCAGTGGTCGGAGCCGGGCGCTCACCAGGGACTGGTAGCTGTAGCTGGCTCGTAGCAGCTGGTTCACCAGGCGGTTGGTGCCGGCTTCGCTCTCGGGGTCGTAGTTCTGGCGGATCTGGGAGCTCATGGTGCCGGTGGGGGCTGGTGCTGGCCGGTCTCGGGGTGCGGAGGCTCGGGGGGCGCGGGCCGGTCTCGGGGCGCGGGCCGGTCTCGGGGTGCAGAGGCTCGGGGGGCGCCGGCCGGTCTCGGGGTGCAGAGGCTCCGTTCAAGCACTGTTGAAGCAAGAGCCTGTGGGGTCTGGGGGGGCTGGCGGGGACCCTTTATACCCCCGGCTCTTCCCGGCACTCCCCCCCCCGCCCCCGCCGCTAGCAGCCACCGGCACGCCCCATACAGTGCGGGAGGGGCTGGCAGCCCGGACGCCTGGGTTCGCTCCCGGCTCTCGGAGGCTGATTGGACAGAGAGAAGCGCCCCGCCCCCCCCCCGGACCCTGACTCAGCACAAACCTTCCCCGTGGCCCCACCCCCGGGAGGGACGTCAACATGACTCAGCAAACCCCCCCCCTTGGGCTGTTTCCTTCATTAGCCACCCCCCCGCCGCGGGGCTGAGCGCATGTGACGCACCAAATATCCCCCAGCAGAAAGGGAGAGAACCCAGGAGTCCTGGCTCCCAGCCCCCCTCCTCTAACCATTAGACCCCACTCCCCTTCCAGAGCCAGGGAGCGAACCCAGGCGTCCTGGCTCCCAGCCCCCCCTGGCTCTAACCACTAGATCCCACTCCCCTCCCAGACCTGGGGAGAGAATCCAGGAGTCCTGGCTTCCCCCCGCCCCCGCCTGTTTCCCGGGGTCAGGGTCTCTGGGTTCCTGTTTTCGGGGCTCAGCGGCGGATCCGGTCTGAGCCGGTTCCCTGGGGCCAGTCACGGGGCTGCGGGGTGTGGGGGGGTTGGTTTATGAACTAGGGCTGGGAACAGGCTGGGGGTCAGTGGGTTCGGGGTGGGGAACGTCGTAAAGGGGCCGGTTGGGGCTGGCTGGGCCCGGGGGGGGGGCACCGGGGGCGGCTGGGCCCACGGGGGGACGGGGGGGAGCGGGCGGGCGTCCGTGGGTCGGGCGGTTTCTGCTGAGTTCAGCTCTCACGGGTCGGGGCGCGTGACGGGCGGGTGAGGAAATGGGGAAATGGGAGCGATTGGAAGGTCAAGTGGGTCAGAGGAGGGCCGGGGCTGGGAGCCCAGACGCCTGGGTTCTCTCGCAGGGGAGTGGGGTCTAGTGGTTAGAGTGGGGCAAGGGGGGCACTGGGACCCCGGATGCCTGGGTTTGCTCACTGGGAGGGGAGTGGGGTCTAGTGATTAGAGCAGGACAGGGGGCAGGGCTGGGAGCCCGGACGCCTGGGTTCTCTCGCTGGGAGGGGAGTGGGGTCCAGTGGTTAGAACAGGTGGGGGGCGGGGGTGGCTGGGAGCCCAGACGCCTGGGTTCTCTGTTTCTGGTTGCTGGAGGCGTCTCCTTTGCCTGAGACCGAGCGCTTCTCCCTCCACGGGGTAGGAAGTTCCTGAGGAGCCGGGCAGGGTCCGGCTGTCCCCCACTGGCCTTCGGATCCAGGGCTCCTGCCTGCTCTCAGCCAGCCCCTGCTTCCCCTACCCGGCTCTTCCCCCAGCCCCTCCCCATCTGTTCACGCACCCCCCAGACAGCCCCAGCCACAGCCACCTCCTTCCCGGCATTGCCGCTGGGCAGGTGGCTCAGGGGATGGGGGGTTCCAGCGTCTCTGCATCTGGGGTGCAGCCCCCCATCTTCTCAGCGCGTCCCCCACCCCCCGGCGCTGGGCGCTGGAGGGAACCCGGGACGATGCCGACCCCAGGACAGGTGAGACCATCTGGCTTGGCCCCGCGCCGGCACCGACCCGAACCTGACGGGCCCAGGACCTGGCCCACGCAGCAGGGCTGGTGTTTCATTTAAAGCCCCGAGCTCCGGGAGTCCTGGGATTTATTTATCCTTTTAAGCAAAGACAAATGGCCTTTGTGGGGCACCAGGCCCGTCCCCCACCCCCTGAAAAAAAGAGGTAAGACCATTATTGTTTTTTAAAACTCAAAAGCCAGACGTCTCCCATCCCATAGCAAATCTTTAGCCCCGGTGCTCTCCCTGAGCTGTCAGGGGGAACCTGGCTCCTGGGGGTGGGGGGCAGCTCCCCCCAGCCCTGCCGGTGCCCCTCACTCCCGACCCTCACCCCCCTCCTACCCCAGCCCTGCCCCCACCCTAGCCCTGACGGTGCCCCTCACTCCCGACCTGCAGCCCCCTCCTACCCCAGCCCTGAGGTCCCCCCTCCCAGAGCCAGGGTAGAACCCAGGAGTCCTGGCGGGGGTCGAGGGTGGGGTTACCAGGTGTCCGGTTTTCGGCCACTGACCAGGCCGCTAAAAGTCAGTCGGTGGCGCCATGGGGCTGAGGCAGCTCCTGGAAACGGCCGGCTCCTGTACTCTGAACCCCTCGGTTCCAGCCCAGAGCCCCCTCCTGCACCCCAAACCCCTCATCCCTGGCCCCACCCCGGAGCCCAGAGCCCCAGCCAGAGCCCTCGCCCCTCCCCACACCCCAACCCCCTGCCCCAGCCCGGTGAAAGTGAGTGAGGGGAAGGGGGAGCGAGCAACAGAGGGAGGGGATGGAGTGAGAAGGGGTGTGGCCTCGGAGAAGGGGTGTGGCCTCGGAGAAGGGGCGGGGCAGGGGTGTTCGGTTTTGTGCCATTAGAAAGTTGGCAACTGTAGTTGGGCGTCAAAAGGTCTTATTCAGCCGCTGAGCCATGAGTCAGCACCAGGCGGGCTCTAAGGGGGCGTGTGGGGGGGTCTGCGACGTTCTCCATAAGCGTGACTATGATGTAACTGGAATGTGCTTCGTGCACAAGGTCTCTTGTGGGATCATTACAAAGGTTATAAATCTGCTAAGTGTGATCATCCCATTTGTATAAATGTATCACTCTCGTCTCTGAAACTAGAAATATGAAGTTAACTCTGAGGTTCCATTGTAATTATGCGAAGTGTGAGCCGTTAATGGTGGTTTGGGATCTTGATGGATCCCGTTAACCTGGACAATTGTTTGTAAATGGCTCTGTTTACTTGTAAGTCTTCCTGTATACGTGGGTGCCAGCCAGTGGGTAATGAAGTCTCACGGGACATGTGATCATGTCACCTGGGACTGGAATCCATCGTAAACCTGGTGCTTTTCCATTTAGAGGGAGGGGTGGGAACCCAGAAAGACAAAGGATTCCCGCCTTGTGCCGAAGCTATGAAAGGGGGTGGAACAGAGCAAAGGGGGCCAGTCATGAGAAATCCCCTAGTTACCACCTAAGATGCCGGCTGGAACTAACAAGGGCTGTACCCGGGGAAGGGATGGGCCCAGACTAGGAAGGAGTCTAGTCTGTGAAAGAAGCTATTGGAACATCTCTGAGGGGGAGATTTACCTGTATTCGGTTTCTTAATGTATTAGGCTTAGACTTACGTGTTTTGTTTTATTTTGCTGGGTGACTTACTTTGTTCTGTCTGTTATTACTTGGAACCACTTAAATCCTACTTTTTATACTTAATAAAATCACTTGTGTTTATTAATTGACCCAGAGTAAGTGATTAATACCTGGGGGGGGCAAACAGCTGTGCACATCTCTCTATCAGTGTTATAGAAGACGGACAATTCATGAGTTTACCCTGAATAAGCTTATACAGAGTAAAATGGATTTATTTGGGGGTTGGATCCCATTGGGAGCTGTGTGTCTGGGTGCTGGAGATAGGTGACCTGTTGAGCAGTTTTCGGTTAAAGTCTGCAGCTTTGGGAATGTGGTTCAGACCCTGGGTCTGGGTTGCAGCAGGCTGGCGTGTCTGGCTCAACCAGGCAGGGAAAATGGGCTCAGAGGTAATCTCAGCTCATCAGGTGACAGTCCCAAGTGGCAGGGAGAAGTGGGGGTCTCTTTGACCAAACCCGTTACAGGGTCATTGGGGCGACATGTGAAGTCGGTCACCAAGGAAACAGAATATCACCATGGGGCCAGCTGGAAAACCAACCCTGCAGGTGGGTGATAAGAACTGGTGGGACCCCCTGCTGCTTGGAACGGGGGTGGGGGAGGTCAGTAAATGGCCCCCAGGGCACAGGCAGTGGTGGATTAGCCACTGAGCAGACAGGGCCCTGAAGGCCAGAGCCCCGGCTAGGCAGGTTGGGGGGCCTTGCGCCCCGACTCCGCTCCCCCACAGCAGTGCCGGGCAGGTGGGGTGAGGGGGGCCATGGTAGGGGACAGAGCGTCTCCTGTCTTGGGGCCGCAGTGGGGGGGGGGCAGAAAGGAGCAAACAGGTTGCGGGGCTGCACTGGGTGGGCAGAACAGGGGAGACCCTGGGTGGAACGGGGCGGGGCCCTGGGAAAGGGGTGGGGCTGTGGGAGGGGTCACAGGCACAAGGGGTGGAATGGGGGCGGGGCCGCAGGCAGAAGGGGATGAATTGGGGGGGGGGCCGCAGGCAGGAGGGGGGGAACGGGGGGGGGCCCCGGGGGAGGGGCGTGGCTGTGGGCGGGGGGGGGGGGGCGGGGGGGGGGGGCCACGGGGGGGAGGGGGGGGGGGGGGGGGCCCCCTCCTGCTCTGGCCCAGGGTCCCACGAAACCTTAATCCGCCCCTGGGCACAGGCACCAACTTTCGTCTTTACAGGTGGGTGCCTCCATCCCTGCTCCGCCCCGAGGCCCCGCCCCCATTCTGCGCCTTCCCCCCAAGGCCCCCGCCCCCACCCCACCTCTTCCCGTCCCCCCTTCTCCCCAGCACCTCCCGAGCAGCCGGCGGGTGCTGAATGAGCACCCCCGGAGTCGGTGCCTTTGCCCCAAGGTCTGAACAGCCGCAGGGCAGAAGCTCCTGGGAGGGCTGGGGGTGGGGCTCGGGGGCTATGGGGCTCTATGCCGGGGTGCTGGAAGGGGCCGCATTCAGGGCAGGCTGCAGGACCCAGGGCTGAGAACCCCCCAACAGCCGGCTTCTGCGGCACCGGGCTGGTTAACCAGCCACCAAGTATCCCAGCTCCCCCCCGCATCCCACGCCGCGCCGGCGTCACTAATTAAAGTGACTGAAGTCAGCCCCAGTGATGCTACGAGCACCTGGCGGCCCCGTGCGAAGCAGACGCTTGCCGGCGGGTCAGTGTCCGGTGCCCGAACTCGGCGCCGGCGTCGCCAGTCCACACCGAACACGTGAGCCCGTCCCAGCCCCACGTGAGCCCCTCGGCCTGGCACCCGATACGCGGGTTTGACAGACGAGGGAGATTTTGTCTGAAGCGCCAGGAGGAAAGGACAAGGGGAGGGAACAAACATCATGGAATGCGTCGGTTTCTTTAGCCCAGGTTGTTTGTCTCCGCCTAGAAACGGGGGGATCCCGCTTTAACCCTTCGGCCGGCCTGGGGGGGACAGAACGTTCTGCCCCTGCCGGAGTTGGTCCATTGTCACGGGGATACGTGTTCGTTCAGTGGTTTCAAACCATCGGCGGCGCTGCCCGGCTCAGGCAGGCTAGTCCCGACCTGTTCTGACACCGCGCTGCGCCCCGGAAGTGCCCAGCAGCAGGTCCGGCTCCTAGGCAGGGGGGCCACAGGGCTCCACGCGCTGCCCCCACCCTGAGCACCGGCTCCGCACTCCCATTGGCCCGGAACCAGCCAATAGGAGCTGAGGGGGGCGGTGCCTGCGGGTGAGAGACACGAGGATCCGTTTGCGCGCCTCCGCTTAGGAGCCGGACCTGCTGCTGGGCACTTCAGGGGTGCGGCGCGGTCCCTGGTGCCAGGACAGGCGGGAAGCCTCCCTTAGCACCCCGCTGACCAGGAGCTGCCCGAGGTGAGCCCGCGCCCCGATCTCCTGCCCCAGCCCTGAGCCCCCCCAAACCTGGAGCCCCCTCCTGCACCCCAAACCCCTCATCCCTGGCCCTGCCCCAGAGCCCTGATCCCCTCCCACACCCCAACCCTCTGCCCCGGCCCTGAGCCCCCCCAAACCTGGAGCCCCTTCCTGCAGGCTGGAGTCCGAGGTCACAGGGCCCCCCCGCCAGCCCTGAGGTACCGGTCGCTGCCTGGCCCTGATGGAAATCGATCTCTGGTGTCACCCAGGACCCAGCAGGGCCGATCCCAGGGCGGAGGAGAGTCGCCCTCGGGAGGTTGTAACCACCATCGACCCCTCACACCCGCCGCTTGGAGCAAGATTTGCTGCAGCTGCCTAAGGGGGGAAACCGACCTGGTCGTGTCTCAAGTCCTGCAGCAGCCACTCCTCAGCTGACCGGGCGCCAGGCTCCATATCAGGGCACTTGTGACCCCCCCCCAAATTTGCAGAGCTCAGCATGCAGGTGGGGGGGGATCCTGGCAGCAGGGGAGGGGGCAGTGTGGGGAGCACAGGCTGTGGGGGGGAGGAGCAGCTTGGGAGAGATCATGGTGCTGCGGGGCCAGAACGGGAGGCAGCAGGGCACAGGGGGGGCAGCAGGGGGAAATGGGGGCACAAGAGGGCAGCGGGGGGGTGTGTTTTTCTCCACTGGCCTTTCAAAAAGTCACTAAAGTCTCGGCTGTTTTTCCCACTCGTTTATTTCTTTGCGGGGCTGTCAGCCGCGCTGAATCGCGGTTTTGGTCGCGCCGTTCGCCAAGAACCGACCCCACGTCGATGGGTGAGCGATGGGTCTGGCCAGTTTTCTGAATCGCTTTCGGTTACGCCGCGGGACACCCCGCGCACCGGCCTCCCTGCCGGTTGTGATGTCGGATTACAGACATTGGCCCCCTAGAAACACATGAACCAACGCAAGTGCAATCGACAGGCCGGAGTGGGCCGGGGCAGACGAACGTTTAGCGGATCTGGCACGTAAATATCTTACAACGCCGGGTACAGCAGCACCGCGCGAACGCCGGCTCTCCGGTTCGGGGGACGTTGTCAATAATCTGGGCCCCGCCAAATTCACCGTCCAGTCTGGTCAATTTCACGGCCAGAGGGTTTCAAAATTGGTCAATTTCACGTTTTCAGCTGTTTACCGCTGAAATTTCACACTGTTGTAACCATGGGGGCCCCGATCCAAAAGAGGATTGTCGGGGGGGGGTCGCAAGCCTGCTGTAGGAAGGTCATGGGATTGGCCCCCTCACTTCTGCGCTGCCTTTGGAGCTGGGGCTCCCAGCAGCATGGAGGGAATCAAATTTCACGGGGAAGGGTCACGGTCCGTGACACGTTTTTCACGGCCGTGAAATTGGGAGGGGCCGATTGATAAGAAGCAGGCAGCATTCTCTGGTTTGTCGGGTGACTGGCCGAACAGGAAGTGGGCCCGAGTGGACTTGGAGGCGCTTTTGACATTGTTCGGTTTTCGAGGGCAGCGACGTAACACAAAGATAATTCTACATTCACACGTTGCACTTTCCCGCTCGCACGACAGCCCCCGTGCGAGTGTTTAGCTTTTCTCCAGGGCAAATCTTTGTCCCCGGAACGCGAAGCCCGGTGCACGTCAGAGCCCGCGCTGCGGTTGGTTTCAGTGTCTCGAGCTCCCGAAGTATCGCTCCCCCGTTCGAATGGGTCCTGCTCCCCTTGAACAGCGACGGTAAAAGGATGATTCGACGCGACTGATTTTTTTAAATCGAGTTAATTTGTTGCGAGTTAATCGTGATTCATTGGCAGCCCTGATTATTTGTCCTTTCATTTGTGATTTTC